AAGAGATTTTTTTCCCAAAAGATTTAGATTTTTAAAATTCATTTGATTGGATGTGTTGTAAAAAATATAGGGTTTTTAAAGATACTAAGAGGTCTGCATGAATCTTTCAATGCGACTAAGGACTAAAGTCCAAAACATCAGTATACTTCAAAACCTTTTTACAGTGTGTTTCAGTTTCCTTCATCTACATTTTCTTGTTGTATTCAACACACCCATTCAGTTTCAACTAGTAACCCCTAGTCATTATAAGCTAACTAGCAGTTAATAATTGCAGCTTTGAGTATGATACATGAATGCACACTTAATTGGGTTTCCTTTATTGCCAACATTTGGCAATATTAATGTACCTTAGTGTATGGAATGATTTGTAAGATTATTATCCCATGACAATTGAGACATCAYTGAATTTGACAGGCCTTTTCACAGATAGCTAAAGGTGTTGCATTCTAGTCTAGCTTTGGTACAATCCTAGTCTGGTCAACATGCATGCTTTTCTATGGTGTTTGTAGCAAAATTGCAGACCAGAATGCAAGTGGTTTACCCTTACCTGTGGATCTTTGTCATCTGTGTCCTGATATGGAGAGATGCTATCAGAATCAGAGGTACCCTCGGCATTGATTTCACCAGGTACATCACTCATAATCATCTTCTTCATCCTGTGATAGTTCATCTTGTCAAGAGCTCGTACAGCTGCTTTTGTTCTATGGATAAGATCCTTGATGATGCCATTTGATCTTCGTCCAGTGATAAACCGATGCTTTTAATAAAAGTCGGTAAAAAAATTAGCATGTTTTCTTGCAGACAAGTACAAGCAGACACCATAATCCCTACTGTACGTGAGAAAGACTTTATTTATCTACTAATTGTGCCTTTTTTACTTTTGTATCACTAATCTAATTTCAAGCCCAGCTGTAAAACACTGTTAAAGTAAACATTACCAAAAAAAGACTTGGGCTTGAGAAATATATAAAAAGTAGCAAAAAAAGCACAGGAAAAAAGATCTACATAAAGAACTTTCATACCRCTAAGAATATTATATGGTGTACAGTATTATTAAACCAAATACATATCAGGAGTCATAATAACTCAACTCTAAATTCGGTTAAATTGGKGTTTTAATGATTTGTTTGTGATTCAGCTTTTGACAGCCTCAGCACAAGTTTCTGCACATGTTTCTGTGTTAKGACAGTAAGTGGATGATGTTGATAAATTTGTGAGATCTACTTGTAATAATCGTTATTCATAAATGTAGATATACCTCAGCCAGCTGTTCAGAACTAGGTCTATCCAAGGGATGCTTTTGTAAACAAGACTGTACAAAGTGAACAAAATCCTCACTCCAGCCACTGGTGGTCAGTGTGGGAGGATCATTCTGTGCTATATGATACAGGGCACTCATGGCATTCATGTTGAATAATGGAGGTTTACGTTCAGCTGTAACACAAGACAAATGATGAATATTACTATCACTTTAGTTGACTCTGTAGAGCTATGCCATTGTTGTACTTACAGTGTACAGTGAAGATTCTAGAGCAACAATAAGTTGTTTTTTTTAAATCTAAGTTTCTTTTGATAGTCTAGCTCTAATGTAACTCATGTACCATTTATCTATAACTATTTGTTTATGATCAAAGCTTAATCTGCTTTTGCATTTACMATTTATAACAAAAGTATAAAGCATTTTGTATGACTATAAAACAGCACAGTATGTTATCAAGGGCGGATTCAGCCAAAAGTTTAGGGGGGGGGGCTAATTGAGTTTCTTCCGTCAACTCAAAGGAAAACAATTTAAAAAAAGAATCTAATTCTTCATTTTTTTTTTCTTCTGAAGGGGAGCCCCCTGGATCCGCCCTTGGTTATTGACTGCATCCTTTGAACCAATTAGAGCAAAAATACTGATCATCTAATGGTTAATCAGTGAATTGACAGAGGTCTTATGAGCCCTACAGGATGCATTTGTGGTTTGAGAGCCCTCATAGRATAAATTACAATAGGGTTTATTATTCTTAATGATATATTTATCAATATTGAAGTTACAAAATGAAGACATCATTAAAGGTAGCTGCTAAAAAGTCAAATCATTAATAGCCAATATCGCTGCGAAAATTTCAATATTCATTATTGGTTTTGACAAGAGGTCCAAGGTTGTTTCCATAGTAACATTATAATACATACCCAACCAATTGTTTTACCAAAACCAAGGAATTTTAGCCATATTTGCATAATTCTTACATTATATTGTTATGGCTGAATGCTTCGCAAGTGCTTACCTAATTCAATACTTGTGATTCCCAATGACCATATATCAACCTAAAACCAGAAAACATCAACACTTATCAAATTATTATCTTGCATATTTCAAGATATAGTAGGCATGTAAAATACAGTTCTTTATCGCACTACAGACAATTGCTTGAAGAAAAATGAATAAATCCAGACATCCCATATATCTCATATTTATAATTAATAGTAATAATGATCCCAACTTTGCAGTGACATATGACAGACCAACCTTGCCATCATATTGACCTTCATCCATAGCTAATATTACTTCTGGGGCCATCCTTCAACAAAATACACAATTTGTCAGTCGAAYATGCATCATATTTCAAGTATCACTAGGGAAGAGAAAACAGTCCTTTGTCTTAGAAGTGGAGCTTGGCGTATGGCATTGGCCGGCATTAGTCCAAGACCTTGGGCACACTTTCTCCTGGCCAGTAAATAACTTTTGAAATTTACAATTTTTAAACAGGCGTTTCGGTCTAAACAAAGACTTTCATCAGTGTAACTGAAAATGTTTGCATTGTTGTGTGTGCTTTAAGGATCTTATAGCATGCGCAATAACACTAGAATGTTAGGTAAAAAGTTTTCTGTATATCATTGATGGCTTTAGAATCTTGTTGGGAAAGCCAAATATGCCACCATGCTACCAATACTTTCACTTCATGGTACTTTTGCTTCCGTTTTGAAGTCAGTTCACTACCAAAGAGAATTGCAAACTTATCTGGATACCTATCTATCTCTTAAAGAAAATKAGGTGTTTCTTGGCTTAACACTTAAGATAATTTTGAAAGTGAACAAGTAGGCACAGCCAATGAAATGCTTAATCAACCAGACAGAAACTGGCAAGTCGTTTTTATTCATAACTTTAGACATTTAAGTGGACAATTTGTAGCAAGTCTGTGTTAGCATTTGCATTTAAAATATTACATACATCAACCTGCAACCTACCAGTAAGGAGTGCCCACAAAAGAATTAGCTGGTGACGCCAAAGATGCAGATCCAAAATCAGCTAAAAATATAATGTTTTCTTTTTAAGTTTGGAGCTCATAAAAGTTTCCCTACTGGCAGTCTCCCTTCCTTTTTCTTTCACTGATGCAGCAACAAACCAGCAAAAGAAAAAGAAAATTAAAGAAGACTCTCACAGTAGGAAACATAAAGTCAATTAAGACAATGAATGTACAGTAAACACTTTTAAAAGGTTTTCAACAATTTACTGTATTCATGGTGTGTAATATCCATGTTTTGGTTTTCTTACCTAATTTGACAGTTCCATCYTCTGTCAGCAAAATATTACCAGCTGTGTGATAAATAAAGTACATCTTTAGTTTTAAATCTTTCTCTCTGTTGGTAATGTGATTTAGAACAAGACATCAAAATGATAYTTCCATACCATTTCAGAATATATTTTTTAATATTTCCAAGAATATGTCTTTTAAAGGGCATATTTTTTAGGYTAGATATGTAATTTTACACACCTAGTTTTTTGATTATTTTTTACAAAAAACCAAAGTTCCAACTTCAATTGATAGCATAATAAGTTGAGGGAAAATTAGTCATTTGAAGGCAAATTGTGTAATGGCCCAGAACTATTTACTGCCTTGCATACCTCAATAAAAATAAGGCTAGTCTGAATAGAACTTTGGTTGAGGTTGAGGATTTTTTCTTACCTTTAACATCCCTATGTATTCTTTCATGACTGTGAAGATACTTTAAACCCTGTAAAACAATGTTAGAATGTGAGTGTCATTGAGTCAGAGGTCACTTCTCAAGTAATCTTTAACTGAAACACTACAAATGTAAAGAATGCTACCACATTTATATTACAGTATCTGTGGTGTGTTATGTTTTTGCTCGTACTGCTAGAGCAAACAAGGCTTTACTTTTCAATACTAGCTTACCTCTATTGCATCTGCACATATTGCTGCAATTTCTAATTCTTTTAAAGGCTTTTTATGAACTGAAAATAAATAAGGATTACATTTGAATTATTCTGGACTTTGAAAAAGCATGTTTGAAAATTGCGGCAAAACCTGCTTACCTTCCAATATATCTGATGCTGACCCTAAACAATATTCCATTACAAGCTGGAAAAAAATAACAGGAGTATTATTAATGATAATATGAAAATATGTAAGTAACATTCCAAAGACCTAGAAGTGAAATTAAACATGATAGACAATTTTTTTTAATAGATATTCAATTTAAAAAAAGTTCACTTGGTTATCTTAGAGATAAAAAATAAAATAAAGGGAATTTAACAGTAGCATTAATGTCTGTTTTTGTACGTGCTATTCAAGGTGCTGTGAGAATGGGTGATGATCATGTTGGGATTTAGAAGTCAAATTTCGTGGAGGGAGGAAATGAGGACAACCCAGAGAAAAAATCCCTCTAAACACAGGAAAGAACCAAAAAGCAACTCTACTCCATTACGACACTGTGTCCAGGAATTGAGCCCTGGTTCCCTTGGTGAGAGGAGAGAGCTCTCACTGTTATGCCCCATGCTTTCCTTGTCTTACATTGTTATTGGGGGGAAATAAAAAAGGGACAAAAAAACCATTGGAAAAAAGGCTATTTTAACCGATAGAATACTAGAGGTTAATTAAACCCTAGCACATTGTTAAAATGTAAGGCAAAGCTGTCACTAATAGACCTGAAAAACACTTGTAGCCAATCAGATAGACAGGTTTGAAACAGTATACACTTAATGTCTGGTCACAAGGGAAATAGTTAGTTTTGCTTTCCCCAGAGTCTTGATGACTTGAGACTTGAGAGAACAAAACTAACTAATTTCCAGAGGGACCAGACATTTTAAGTGTTTTGTTATATAGCAATTATAATAGAAAAGAAATATTGAAAAGTCAGATAAAAAGTAAGAAATAAGAACTTTATTTAGCAAGCTAAATGCATGAAAACTGACTAATGATTTTACAAATACAACTCACATTAGGTCTTGTATCATATGACCCGTATATGCCCGGGCGCATGCTCTTAAAAAAACCTTCAGGAAAATGGTGTGAGCAGGGCCGTGCGGTTTTGAGCGAGCCGGGCCGTATGAATTCGTTCGGCCCTGCTCGAAACCTGTTTCCTGTATTTTCTTTCTTTTCTTTTATTATTTTTCTTTTCGTGAGGGTCATATGATAAAATGCTTATTGACTGAGTTAGGTCGGGCCGTACGGGAAAATATTTGGATTGCTGCTCTTGGTCCGTACGGTATCACCTTGAGCCAAATATTTTCCCGTACGGTCCTCCCACTCAGTCAATAAGTACATAGTATTTCACTACCAAAAAGCAAGGAGAATAACAACAGCATTTTTAGCTGCTTTTTGCATATTTTCCTTATCCTTTTTCTCAATAAAAGTCTGTAATTTTTCTGTAGAAACACTGGAAAATCTCTGTTTTTTTTGCTTCAAGCTCCATTTGTACTGAAAATTCCAACAAAATCTGCTCCCGCTTTATCGTTTGTGATTGGTGCAAAATATCATGTCACCAGCATTTTTCACATTCTGATCAAGTACACTTGTTTATTTTCACCATTCTTGTCAACTTAATTCCCTACGGGAAATAAGTAACTTATGGRATACATTTAAATTTAGCTAGTGTCATGTGGTCATCTTTCAACCAATGAGATTGTTTGTTATATAGGAAAATTTTGTACAGTAGATGTATAACAATTCAAAATGATTAACACTTACCCATGCTGTATGATCCTTGAGATGGCATGCTAGATAACTTATAGTATTTCTATGGTTACACTGTTTTAAAAATTTGACTTCCTTGACTATATCATTCCATTTCTATCAAAACAACAAGAGAACTATTATTAATAAGTGTCTTGAAGTTAATCCAAACCACTCTAGTTTGGGTTAAACGTTTGTGTTTTTACCATGTCTAATTATTAAATTTAATATTTATTAGAATATGCATTATGGGTGGTCATCTAATTTTCGCATTATTATATTTTCGCAATACTTAGTTTTCTTGTCACCTTAATTTTGCAATTTTTTGAAAATGTAAGAAGGTAGTTATAGGTAAAACATGGCAARAAATACTCCTTTGGGTATTTTCTTATTAATTTTCTTTATTTGTTAGTATAACTTGAAAYTATAATCAAGTTAATATCTAGACAATACATGGACAAATTCTCTTATTTTTAGGAGAATTACAAATTGTCTACAGTGGAAAAAGATTCAAGCAAACTAAATGGATGTATTGTAAATAACAATAAGTTAATAGCACCATACTTCCTGTGATTGTTTTCCACTATATGACATTCTCTTGATTGCCACCACCTCTTGGGTCTTGACATTGCGGCCCTTCAAAGATGAAATCATCAAAATAAATATATTGTACACATCCTACTTGTTAAGCAAACCAACAAGCTAATGTACTAACTGATATAGTGTCTAATTATGAGTAATAGTAATTGTATTATTATTTCACAGCATAATTACATATACTAATCATTCAAACTAATTTATTTCAGCAAGTTTTTGTTCTAAAATTAACATGGAATTTTGTCATCATCCAGCAAATTTGTCGAAATAACCTGTTTCTTAACAAAAGAAAATGTAAATAATAAATTAATACAATAATATTGATCTCTTAAAGCAGACACAATAAGCCTTTTCATAGTTTAAGAATCGATTCCACTGCGCATGAGATTTTATACTGAATTTCTCACCTTCCTTTGTCTAAACCTTCTTTTGTTCTTATTTAAACAAAAAAAGGTGAGAAATTCAGGATAAAATCGCATGCGCAGTGGAATCGATTCTTAAACTATGAAAAAGCTTATTTCAGAGTATTCTTCCAAATAACAAAAATAATATTATATAACTAAACAATACAAATTTTGAAATCATGATGGAGTTCAACAATATTTCATTATCCCAACATTTTAAATAAAATTATCAAAATTATGCATTAAAAACTATGCAGTTTTCAAGAAATTCAGAAAAAATGGTGTTTAAAAAATGTCAATACTGAGACTCAGATGTCCAGCAAAAGTGTCAGCATTGAAAGATTGACCTTGCATTATCTTAAGTGGGATTGTAAAATATTATAAATGAAAAGGAATTAATATTGGTTCTACTTCATGGCTGTTCATCCACTGGATTCAGATTAGAACTGTCATCCACTTGGACAAAAACAAGTGTCCATGATAACTAGTACTTTATGGTGTCAAGAGGGCTTTGACTGTATAATACTTTAATAATGTTTATATTTCAAATAATTAAGTAAATGAATCTCCAAGTTTTGTTTACATTAGCATGAATCCAAAAACAATTTCAGTTTTTAGACCATACCGCAATCATTAATTCWTTTTCCAAAATACATACAAAATATAAACAGCATAAAAATGATTATGGATATCATGAACTACTTTACATGGTTGCAAGTCAAAAAAAATAAAAAAATAAAAAACAAATGTATCTAATTAATAGAAACATCAAAACCAAACGCAGTTGTTGGGTATTATTCTTAAGGTCGATCATCAAAAAATAACACCTTTGGTTTTAATATTTATCTATTTCTAAGATGCATTTAGCTTCTTCATATGAATTAAATAATACATTGGTATAATCTGAGTGAATATTCCAAACTCAGATTATTTAGTTAATAAAATGAACAGACTAAAGCATGATATCAACAAGAACAATACAAGATATACAGGCTGTTCACGTAAGGGTAATATGTAATCCTCCAGATTAATCAATAATATTATAAACTCTTACACTAGAAGTAACAGAATAAAAAATAGGCTACACAACACACACACAAAGTTAAATCAAAGATTCTTGTTCAACTTACATAATATACAGCCCCAAAGCTGCCATGTCCTATTTCACGCAGATCTGCGTATAATTTCTCTGGGTCATGTTCGTCAAATAAACCAGCATATTCTGGATTTTTGAATAATGCCACCTTGACAGAGGGCATGGCCACATTAGGACCACTTGGCCCAAGATAGGATGGCGAAAAGCTCTCTATAGCCTGGTAATAAAATGGTACAACAGCAGTCATTGTTAGTTATAAGTACTGGTTCATGTTAACACTGGCAGGGTGGTTCRTGGAGTTAATGACATGCAAGAAGCGAGGAATAGAAAATGAAACATTCAGGGGGAAATATGCTAATAAATGAAATCACATTGGAGGAATCAGCTAAGACAAGCTGAATAGAGGAAGATCTAGTCTGAAGAATGTGTGATGTAAGAGGAAATACATTCATTGTATCACTAATGATTACAGCTAAAAGCACAACTGCAGTATCAAACTAAATGTAAACTYGTACCACTACTGATGAAGGCATTGCTATGGCGTATTCCTATTTTGTTGGCAAATAATACAATCAAGTACTACACTTTGGATATTTCGAAACAAGATTTGAAAACCATTCCTGTCTTCTTGCAAATTCAAATGCAGTTTCCAAAGTCTTTATTGAATCAATTAATGGTTGAAACTTGATGATCAAATTACTGAGTGTGTTACTCAGGGTACATATGGGCTACAGGGAGACATGATGCTAATTCAATCCATAGAAAAACCACAATGTGTCAGATCACTTAGTCTTATGTCACCTAAGTTAGTACTCAAAAATCAAAGACATTTTAATTTAAGACAATGGTTTCTTATGTAATTTTACTTGAAGTATAATGAAATAAAAATTTTATCACATACAATTACGAGTAAAGTACGAAGTAATTTTAAAAACTCAAAGAAAAASATTTTATGTTGGTTTAAGTGTGTAAATAAGTAGGTAAACCATTCTTAAACTCAGCTTCAAAATACCCCTAGAGCTCTTTAAAAATACCGTACGTGTATTTTCGAAAACATTTTCAGAAAAAGATGTCCTGATTATATAACAGCTTATTTTAGGAAATAAAACTACTGAGTTATTACCGCTGTTTTAAAATCAAGAAAAGACTTTTGAAACCTTATGTTTAAACATTGGAATTAAGATAATAAGGCTTTCTTACAGATTTGCAGAGACGTGCATAAAAATTATTTTTGATGTTTTACTAGTTCAAAAGGTTAAACATTCATCACACAATCTTTTGATTTAGAAGAATTAGAGCAATGCCAAACGTTCTGCTTCACTGATCACTCGTATTGAAGATTTGAAAATTCTCAAGATAATTTAATATCAGATAAATTTTGAATTTCTCTTTCAAAGCCTGAATAAAATGAAACATCCCACCCCAGGGAAGGCAACCAAAAATATCTTAAACCCCACCACAAATATGCTATTAAACGAAAGCTTAGGATATCTGAAACAAAAAATAATGATTTGTATTCAATGAACGCCTCATCCATGTTAAAGAATGGATGACAGAGAGCTGCAAAGTGTGACTAACGTGAAGCCAATTACTCAAATACTCTGGGCAATATCAATGAACTAAACGTAATATGAAGAAATAACATTACAGAATTTYTAAAAACTCTCTTAGTAGTGATGTTGTTTCTATATCAACTCAATTTTATCATCTACATTTTCATTTTTCATGTAATGGGACATTTTAGAAAATTGTGATTGACATAAAGATGCTTAATTAATCCTGTCAACAAATTTTTTTTTWAAATATCATAATTCAAGCATAAATTTGTACTATAAAATTTACCAAATATCATTTGTTGTTATTTACTGAATATTATTTGTAGTTATAACAAGTATTTGAATCCAGAAATTTTCCACCATACCCTAAATCGTTTTATTTTCCTAAATTGCCATTTTTGAGTAGAAGTTCTCTTGTGTAACCAATTTCTAAACTAGACCCTCTAGCCATTATTTTGAAAGCCTTATATTACTTTAACAATGGAGATCACAGTTTCATATTTGTATTTGATTTTGTGGATTGATAAACTAAATTTCCTTGAGCCAAAACAAAACTGAATCAATCTAGAGAGACAGACTGTCTCATCACCTGGTGTTCACAAACTAAAGAKAACAACCAATAGAATATAACTGCTAAATGAATATTACAAGAGTAAATGATTAGTCTTAAATCACAGGCATCTATTCATATGTCATATACTCATATACRTCATATAATAAATTTATGAAGAAATTAGGGACACTTTCTTCTASATATCAGTCTCTAAACGAAAACACTTTATAAGTAATTTAGAAGAAATTGAGAAGGTTAAAACTTAATAAATAATAGAAGTTGTACTTACACAAAGCATCAAATGTTACACTCTCCAGAATAYTTTCATAAATTTGACGATTAAATCACAAAGGATATTCAATACTTGACAGACACCAGATAAGTAAGAAGTATTATTTAGAAATCAGTTAGCGATTAAGGTTTCTGAAGTGTGTTATAATTACCTTAGGTAATGTGAAAAGTTATCAAGAAAATTTCGAATAAGAAATCAGTTTTTCGTTGTAAAAATCGAATGACACTCGAATGTTCAACCAAGATACTTAGGAAAATCGGTTAAAATCTGTGAAAAAAATATTACAACTGAGAGATTGACGCCTATGATAGGATGTTACGTTGGTATTGAAGTATTCGCTAATAAAATTTGGTTGARAAACTAGTCAACGTCACAACATAAAACCAAAATACCAGAAGATTTTGCTGTCCAACGTGAATAATTCTCTTTGAATCACCAAAAGATAAATTGTTTAGGTATTTGGATTGTTGGAGTAATAATAAAATCAATGTATAATGGTGRTCTTAACAAAACAAAATTTAAGGCCAAAATTATCAAGGGTTTAATATGGAATTGAACGTTYGTGAAAACTCAACTTCAAACCACATCCACRAACTTCCGTCACTACTGTTCGATTRTTGCTAAAATTATACACAAATAAAAAAAGCTTAGAATCGAWGGAATAACTTCATAGCAGTAACAGTATATAGGCTGCTCAAACGTTATAAGMATYGCCTTACCAAATCTGAAGAATTATGCTAAGTTAAGACAAAGAACTGAGCCTATAGTTAGAAATAWTATTATTATAAAATGGGGTCTTGGGTCTTGAAGACTGCACATCGTCGGAGAATGGTTATCCGGAACCGACGGCCGTCCGACTTTTCCTAAACCCTCACAATAAAGCTTTTTCCATAGTTCCCAAGTGAAATCATAGCCCGATTATATAATAGACGTCACAGTGGTCGTATTCTGTGAGTCCAGACGCTTTCAAATCAAATCMCAGTTCGAGAGAGAGACGAAGAGGTACGAGTTGAACGATGGTGATGGGCAAGGCAGCCATTGTTCCAGCTCCATAAATATACTCGCTYGTGTCAATACAGCGCTTTCCACTGGGCTCATCATCAAATAAYAGTCCTCGTGCAAAGCTAGAGTCGTTCAAAAATCTATAACTTACCTTTGTATTTGAATAACTTGTGCGAAATCTTCATGAAACACAACAAAATCTTACAAAAATGCTAATGTACTCCCAAAACATGGCCGCCGCTGTGTCCAGTGCGCTTGCGCGTGACGTTATTCGCTACCAGTTCTCCTGTATTCGGTTTTGCGGCGCGGATCAAATAATTTATTAAAATCGGTAGCGGTACGTCATGCACGTCATGTCCAAATTTAGAAAATTCTTTACTTAGCCTGTGTTTCCATGGTTTCTCACCTTTTTYGTAATCATGAGTGTACATGGTTTCAATTTTRAAAAGAAAGATTCTAAAAACTAGAYTTAGTTATATGATGTATGACTTGCAGTTGATATCTTTTTACCATTCCTGATAAAATATACCAACTCATCACCACTATCCTCTCTATCATCATTTCATATATTTCATATATTTTATGTGATATCAAAACCATATATATTTATATTAGGACCCTTTCGTAAATCACTCATTTCGCAGGTGACGTAGATATCCTGTTTAAAGATGGTCTAATTTTGAAGATGTACTCATGACAATAACATTCAACTCACGTCACTGTTTAAGTGGAACACCACATTTTGTTTGTTTTATACGAAAGGGAGGGTTGCAAAGTGGTATACTTCCCTGAGGCCTAGTCATAAAGTACAGGGGAGGGGGGGGGGGTTGATGGAACGGAAAAATCATAACTCTCAATAAACAAACTTAGTGGCCCACTCTTTGAGCCTTTAGAGTGCAAACAATATAGCCGTGAAACTTTAGTAATACTAAATAGCACAATTTCATGCAAATTCCATAGTCTATTGTATTAGCACTATTTTGTACTATTTAGCAATTAGTGTTTCACGGATTGATTGTTTGCACTGTAGTCCATGCATGATTTAAAGTGGCCCACCCTTGAATGGTAACACATACATTTATGATCCACCGCCATTCCCCCCATAGGGTTAAAAACGCGTATAGGAAACCTTGAATAGTCCCCGTTTTTCTTATTCGGTAAATACCACTGTGTTTTAGACTCATCTGCACAGGCTTAGCCTCGTTTAGAGGGCAAACAACTTGCAATAAGTCAACTGTAATGCAAAGAATGTGCAAGTTGAATTTTGGTATGGCCCACAGACTTTTAACATGTTTTAATGGTATGCTGAATAGCTGACCTATAAACGAGGCTAAGTCTGTGCAAATGAGTGTGTGGTCTTTAGAAACAGCGGTATATGCATCGAATGCAAAACTG